TAATGGAATTTATGAGAACAGCTTGTGATTCTCTGAAACTACCTGGTGCGGTCATTTCAGCCAGCACAATGTGAATTATGCAATAAGCCATCACTTTAATTAAAACAAATTGCATTTACTGTATCAGTCCATACTATAAATCATTCCCTAGGGCCCCTCTTCAAGGTTTCTGCTTGGCCTACTCTTGAGAAATGTTGACAGCAGCCTCCATTTCCAAAAATATTTTTAAGCATTTTGTTCTAATATTCTTCTTCAGGATTCAGCTTTTGAGCTCACTGCCCTGATATACAAAACAAATTTTATCCAAGAAAACAGGGCAGAAATCATGTGTAAAAGCTGAATATTTCATTTTCCCTTTCTCTTCTGGTCTGCAGTGTGCACTTTAGTAGACTGTGGCAGTGGATTATGAAGTTTATTAATTGAAATAATGATAATAATAAAAGCCAAAAAAAGGAAAGATGCAGATTAATTGTTTTCATCCAAAGTTAGGAGTCACATGGGATTCCTCTCACTCCCTACTATAATTAGACTGAACAACAAGACAACCAGATTATTAGTCCTTTGTGTATCTCCAGTTTAATAAAGAGAATGACCGTTGGGTATTTGTATTCATTTGAGCTCAATGCAGCTTAAAATGCAGTGCTAAATACAGCATATCATACTGAAGGATGAAGTAACTCACATTATAAGGAGAAAACATCATCCTTTTTGTGACCTCTGATGAGAGGGCAAGGGTTTTTACTTCATTCAGTTTGGATCAGGCATGCTGAGACCATTCAGCACTACCTAAGGTTTAAGTGAGTGTTTCCTTGAGAGCTTGTTCAGGTTTCCTTGCTTTGCAAATTAAAATAAAGTAGTTAAGTTCTTTTCTCGAAAGGGGTATTGTTAAGTGTTCCCTGAATTAGAGTTTTAGACTCAGTGGTGATTTCTGCATTTAGCCATATGAGAGAGAGGCTATTGCAATTCTGAAGAAGATGCTGTTTAAGACAGTCCTGCACAGGCTAAAATGCACAGCTGGGTCCTAACAGAAGGCTAATGCAAATTTTAAAATTTCAAGAAAGATTTTGCAGCCCGTTTTGCAGAAGTTGCTTGAATCTCATTAATTTGGTGGATCTTGTAGGTGGAGCTGCTTTGGTAAAATTTATGAGGAAGGTGAACCATTTATATATAACACCAGTTACTTTGAAATTGCTGAAACCTCATGATGAACAACTGGGTCATTGAACATAAACCAAGAGCCCAGAGCCTGACTGGAAAACCATTAAAGCCAATGGAAAGGGACCCACTGGCTGGAGCCAACACTGGAGCAGTTCCAGAGAATAATCTAAACCAAATCTGTCTTCATATTTATTTTCTTCTTGATATATAACTAAAAGAAGCCCAAGTAGATTTGCAACAGCCTTAATATCTACCTGTTTGTTGTGAAGAGTATCTCACTTTACATCAAAGCAGGTATCCATCTCCTCCAGCAGCCTCATCCTGTTGTTGTTCAGGTCTTCAAATGAAGGCTTCTGTCACACAAACGAACAAATATATCCCAAGAACAGATTTAAGCATTGAGAAGGAAAGAAGACAATACCCATTTTCTTTCCCTGAAAAGAAAAGTAGATGCAACTGGAAGCAGCATATGCCCAGACTGTTACTCCTGTTCTTCAGCCAAAATAAAGTCTGAAAATAATTGGCATCAATAAACATTATCAAGGACCATCTGGAACACACATGTAGTGAAAAGTGAGCAAATACCTTCAGAGCAGAGGATAAATAACTTAGTTGCATTTCTTACATATTTGTTGTATGGAAAAGACCATTTAGCTTATTAATTCAAAAGGCATTTATTGATGCTGTAGTAAAGGCCCACTGCACAAAGCTCAGGAAGCTCAAAATGCTGAAGCCAGCAGAAAAGGTCCTTCAACCTCCAATAAACATAAGTACATTTTCCATCTCTTACTATTAGGCTTGCACTGTATCTGAGTGGTTTACAATTTCTCATTGTCTTTAATTTCTTTCGTTGCCTAAATTTAATAATAATAAAGTGGTGTCTCATGGACCCTGTGGTCATCACATTTTTTTGTGTTACAGGATGTTCAAAGTGCATGCCTACATTTTCTTTTTAATGATCAAAAATAGTTTTGCTTTGGTTGGTTTGGGTTTTTTTCCTGAAGTTTTGACAGCTCCAAAAGAGCTGTGGAGATTATCTTCCAACTTTCTAAATAAATTCACTGCTGGCCTGTTAATAAGAAAGCATAAGAAAATTTCAACCCTCAAAGGTAATTTTGGAGGAAAGTTATAAACCACTGAAAACAGCAGCTTATAATGAAAGTGTCATCTCAACCATAAAAGGTACCTTAATGCTCGGAACAGGCACTGTGAAACATGATCGAAAGGGAGTTTAGAAATATTGCTAATGGCCCTGACATAAGGAGTGTGCCTATAAATGATGAAAAGATGCATGGCTAAAACTGCCCACCACAAGTCTTTGAAGAGCATCTGACTACCCAGGCATGCCAGAGACAGCGATTGCTGACAGACCTGGTCATGCAAATCTGCTGAGTCAGAGACGCCTTCAAACACCTCATGCTTTTGCTCCCTCTGAAAGTGATGCTGTTGCTCAGCAGAGACACAGCTCAGACGCCCAGGCTCATCCTGGGTGGCATTTGGAGGGTGGGGATGGCCAACAGTATGGCAGGACTGTGGCACTCAGCCTCTAGGTCAGAAGAAATAACATGACCTGTTGTTGTAAAATTCCAGTGTCTCATCAATCGACTTTCGGGGTTTCAACATCTTTGTTCGGTTTTCATGAAACTGTGTCATTTTTGTTGGAATGAAAGTCTGGAGAAGATGCAGGAGTCTAGCCTCCTGCTCACAGCAGGAAGATTTCAAAGTTAGTTTTGAAGTAGTTCTGCTGTTCCTATTTAAGCCAGGTGATTTAAAGTGTAATTAATATGTGCAAAATTTCAGCAGGCTGAAAGTCATTTCATGGACTTTCAGGGTTCACATTTGGCCATGCTCATTTTGCAATGTGGTCCTTATGATATCTTTAGTGAAAAGGGTGCTGGTCTGTGCTGTGATTCAGTCAGGAGGACTGTTTGGTTAAATTTATCTTACCCTTCAGGGAGCAATTCTGAGTTGGAGCTATATTTTGAATATCTGTAGGTCAAGGTTATGCATGACCATGACTATGCATTTTATTTAGGCCATTCCAAAAAATGGATTGTAAGGCAAATCTGTGTTGAAGGCTATGTGGTAGAATTATTTTCTTTTTTAATCACTGGTCAGCAGATGAAATAATAACAATAAGGAGAGCTGTGCCTTGGGGGCAACTTACTTCAATGCTTGTTTTCTGCCTGAGACCCGTCTGTTTCTCATTCTTACTAACTCCATGCCAGAGATATGAAAAGCAACACATGCATCTAAAAGTCTGTGCCATGGATTGACCCAGGCTGGACACCAGGTACTAACCAAGCCACTCTATCATTCCAGTCCTCAGCTAGGCATGGGAGTGAAAAAATACCTGGGCAACCTCCTGGGTCAAATAGGGATGGGTAGAGATCACTCACCGATTACCAACACAGGCAAACCAGACCAAACTCAGGGTCTGGTTTATTTAATAATAAATATTAAATTTATTTAATTTATTACAAATGAAATCAGAAGAGGGCAATGCAAAATGAAAGTCAAATCTTAAAACAACTTCACCCCATCCCTCCGTTCTCCCTGGGTTTAACTTCAGTCCTTATTTCTGACTGTGGTCAGTTCCCTGCATGTTGTCTCTGCTGCTCCCTCCCCCACAGGGGTTGGATTCTTCTCACTCTTACCCTGGTCCAGCGTGGGGTCACTCCCACAGGAGGCAGTCCTCCATGAACTGCTCCAGTGTGGATCCCCCTCCAAAGGGTCAGTCCTCCTGGAGCAGCCTGGATCTCTCCCATGGGGTCATTCCTTCAGGAAAAGGCTGCCCCACTCTGGGTCCCCCAAGGTGTCACAGGCCCTTCCAGGATCCTGCTCCAGCACAGGCTTCCCATGGGGCCACAGCCTCCTCTGGGCATCCCCTGCTCCAGCCTGGGCTCCCCCAGGGGCTGCAGGTGGATCTCTGCTCCCCTGCCCTCCCTGGGCTGCAGGGGCACAGCTGCCTCAGCCTGGGCTGCTCCAGGGGCTGCAGGGGAATCTGAGCTCCAGAGCCTGGAGCAGCTCCTGCCCCTCCTGCCCTGCCCTGCCTGTCTGCAGGCCTGCTCCTCTCACATCCTCCCAGTCCTCTCCTCCAGCTACTGTGCTGTTGTGCAGCAGTTTTCACCCTTTCATGTTAAATACTTTATGCCAGAGGTGCTACCACAGAGTCCCAGTGTGGACCAGTGGCAGGTCCCTCTTGGAGCTGGCTGGCATTGGCTCTGTGAGATATAGGGGAGCTTCTGGCACCTTATCACAGAAAGTAGCCCTGCAGCTCCCCACTACCTTGCTACTCAAACCAAATACAGCCTGACTTTGCAAAACCCTTCCTGTATACAAGCTGCCCAGACTTGAAAATGTGGAGAATTTTCTAAAGTCTTCAAATGTTGACAAGTATATTTCTGAATATGTTCCCAAATATTATCTGAGGATCAGAGCTTCAGACATTTTCTCAGTGTTTATTAGCAATTTCAAGGACTCAGAAAATATAAGTCAGACCTAAAGATGTCGTGAGGTTTTACTCGTTTAATAATAGAGTTTAGGTTCCTTTATTTGTCTCCTGCTGAGCCTTTAGCTTGAACTTGGGTCACTTTCAAACTTTGGTATGCTCCTGAGGTCTAGAAAACCAGGGATTTATTGAACAAGAAAGGAAAAAACTCTCAAGTGTGCACATGACAGCAGAGGGCAAGGCCTCAAACAGCTTGAGATTGCTGTAAAAATCCTGATGGGTTTCTAAGCCCTATCATTGTCGCAAGCCTCTAGCAGGCATTACTCCTTGTAGCCAGTTAGGCTCCTCATGGGAGGCTGCAGAGCACGCAGCCTTTCCCCAGGGCCAAGAGGTGAGTGTCTCAGGCAAGATGTTAGCTTGACTTTTTTTAGAACAATTTCATATTAATTCTTCAAAGACAAAAAAGAATAGAATTGCTATTTATATTTCAGAGTTGCTGATCTCTTTATTTTTAAAATTATTGTTTAGCTTACTCTTGCTCCTCAACCTGTTGGTTAGCACCTCTTTCTCTTCCTCCCTGTTCTGGGCTAGGATGGTGCCTGATGTTGAAGATGATCTATCCTATTTCTCTCCAGTCTAGTGAGGGAGATGGAGGAGCAGGGCAAGGAGAGGACTCTTGTTCAGTAACAAGAGCACCTCTGAAAAGCTGTGGAAATGGTTTTATCCTTTAGGTGTTCTCACACTGCTGGGTGCTTTTGTGAGACTGTCCAGGACACAGGGATACCCTAAAACTGAGTATTCCACATGTGAGCATGACCATCAAGGGGTGCTTAAGCATCATCTTTTGCTCTCCCACCTATTTCCCCCCTCTTGCAGCAGCAGAAGGTGCTTGGGGGCCAAATCATCTTCTGCCCAGTTCCACACCAGAGTTCTGGTGTACCTGGATATTTGGGAAATGTTCCTTTCCTGCAGCCCTGGGAGACTGCTTTCCAGTGCTGAGGGGTGACCTCCCCTCCAGCCCCAGGACTAAGCTGACCTGATCACCACCATGCTCCTGCCTGCACCAAGTTACCCACAGTTACCAGGGTAGCTGTGAGAAGCACTCTGCCTCTCCAAGCTCTCTTTCTCTCAGCAGTACCCTTCACCCCTTGGTGTTGTTCTCATGTCGTTCTGCTGGGAGAGCAGGACTTTATGAGTATGTAACTCTTTACAGAATCACAGAATCATTAGGGATAGGAAAAAACCTCTGAGGTCATCAAGACAAATAATTAACCCAGCCCTGTCTTCACCATTAAACCATGTCCCCAAATGCCAAATCCATACACTTTTGAATGCTTCTAGGGATGGTGATTCCATCATTTCTTGAATGCCTGACCACCATTTCAGTGAAGAATTTTTCCTATATCCAATCTGAACTTCTGCTGGTGCAGCTTAAGCCTGATTCCCTCTTGCCCTGTCACTTGTAATCTGGGAGAAGAGGCTGATGCCCACCTGGCAGCACTCTCCTGTCAGGGAGTTGTGGAGAGTGAGAACATGCCCCTCTGAGCCTCCTTCTCTCCAGGCTGGTCCCTCCTACCCGCAGCTCCCTTTAGATGCTCCTTACCAGACAGGTGCTCTAGATCCCTCACTAGCTCTATTCCTTTCTCTGAATACACTCCACCACCTCAATGTCTTTCTTGTCATGAGGGGCCCAAAACTGAGGCCAGGTGTGACTTGTGTCAGTATGACCAGTGTGATGTGGTGGTGATACACTTTGGGCACACTCTGTGCTCCTCCCCATCAGACAAGGAGGGCAGCAGGGCACTGACTGCTGGTACTTGGGGATGCTCAGGAGAAACAGGCAGCTCAGTGCAACTCTTTTTTCTCTGTGTTAAGACTCAAAAGGAAATCCACACGTCCTTCTTGAAAACCTCCTCTGCAAACCCACGTGTCTCTCTAATTGAAACAGGGCAGGGTCTGAAACCATAGGAGTCCACAGCTGCTATTTCTATTGTGCATGTCTGAGTCAAGGTGAAGAGAAAAGTCAGCAAAATATCCCACAGGGTGAATCCTCCATGTGCCAAGAAAGCTGACTCCACATTAAAGGTGAGAGCCAGAGCTTGCAAAGCAGTGATGGCTTGGGAAGACAGAGGCCTTGATTCCTTCCAGCAGCCTCCAAGTGTTATTCCCATTAACATTGGCACTAGCCATCACCCTGAATACCCCATGCACCAAAAGACGAGTGAAAGTGAGCAGGAGGGAGGGAGGTGATAAAGTTGTCAGGCTGTAGGCAAGGCTCTGGCCTCCAAGGACTGGCAGAGACTGTGTTGTTTAGAGACACATCCTGGGATGTGTTTTAAGAGTAGATTGGAGATGTTCAGGATAGGGGTGGGTTTGCTGATCTTGCAGAGGCTTCATCTTTGGTCAGCCTTCAGTTCACAGTGCTGGAACATCAGGGCTCTGCCTTTTTCTTCTCTTTTATCTTCATTACCAGGGGAAGAAGAGCTCTATGTGGCAGAAAAAAAGACAACTAAAAAACCTGAGATGGCAAAGCCACCCATGTTACCTTACCACAGGTGACAAATTCCATCACTTGGTGAGTGTTGCTAACTCTGTGGCTCACAAGGCACCTGCCCTGACTGCATCCAGGTCAAAAGCACTTTCAGGCCCCCACCAGCAATCAAAATCTGTCTTAAAGAGCACAGCACGCAGTCTGTGCCATGGGGAGACAGGAGAGAGTATCACTTCTGCACTGGGTCTCTGCTTTGGTGTTGAAAGAGCAGCACTCAGATAAAACACAGAGCTGTAGACAAGATGGTTTCTTTTTACCATGAGCAAGTCTGAATGCCACAGAGAAATCAAAAGTATCCTTGTTACTGGTGATCCAACCTCTTTTCAGAGCAGTGCAGAAACTTTAGTATTTGATGCAGAATCCACAAGTGAGTCATTCCTCCTTCCCTCTTTTTTCTCCTCTTCCTCCCACCTTGGCACCAAAGTGCACTAAGAAAACAAGACATCAGGAAGATGTCTTCTGGATCATTGCTGCAGCATCTTGTCTGCCTTCAGGCTCTGGTGTCAAGTAGTGATCAGCTTCTTCCCTCCAGCCCTGAAGTAGCAGTTTTCAGACATGACCTTCCACCCCTTCACAGCTCCCTGTGTCTCTGAAATGTCCAGAGGTCAGCCCCTCACTGCCTCCACAAGGAGACCTGTTCTGGAGATTCCTGCCTTGCACCAGCCCCACCTCATGTCCCTGTCATCTCCCATCATGTTACCACACTGAAGGGGATACCAGGGGTTTAGATGGTGTCCTCCACCATGACATGGACTCATCATTTCACTATTTGTTGGGGAATGGCGCTGTGCACTGCTCGTGGAAAGGTAGCCTTGACTGACTAGCTAAAAATTGGAGGTGACCTAGCTGTACAACTTACTGGTCAGGAACAATGTGACAAACTTCATCTTTCTTCACTGCCAGCCTCTAAGGTTAGAGAGGGCCACTCCCTGTCATAGTGGGGAGGAGAGAGACAGCTCTATGGATGTGTCTGTCGGTGCATGTGGCGGGGGGAGAGGAGGGGTATGCTCTTATTCTTTCCTTCCTACTTCGTTATATTGATTTTCAGTGGCTTGAATGCTTGGAATGCAATAAGGGAGCAATTCCCTTCTATGCTGGCTAGTAAACATTGCCTGTAACTTTATTCTGGGTCAGGAAAGTCAGCACTTAAAATTAAAAGTGGTTCCAGAGGAGGAAAGCCATATTTTAGGAAATTCCAGCTGGGGGTTCCTTGTTACTGTACTTCATTTTAAAATCCAGTGTCGTGTCATGTCATGTCATATATGCCTTTAAAAAAGCATTTAACTGATATATAGTCTCATCTGCTCTTTACTTGCAATATTTCAAGCAGAAAATATTTTTTAAAAATTAGTTCCCTGGCTCTCTGAATTTACAGCAGAGGCCACAGACTATAAAGTGGAAGGAGTTGAAATTAAGCCCAGGGGAGAAAGAAGTGCACTAGAGAGAAAGTCTCACATGCCAGGTGCTTAAACACATGCATAGTTTAAATCCTGTGCCATCTCACCAAAGTCAATGGACCTGCTCTTATATTTAAGACTAAACTGTCTTAAATTCTGAGACACAATCCCTAAAAGAATGTGTGTAATACTGGGGTGCACACTGTTATGCCCATAAACTGTTCCAGGTCTAAGGTACAATCAGCTGTGGGAGTTCCTTTTTTTCCTGTGCCAAGCTTCTGTGCTCAGGTCTTGGAAAGCCAAAAGGTTTCCCCAAGGCAGGAAAACAAATGTCCTGAACAGTCAGATTGAGGAATGACTGCCCTTGCTGATGTGTGGCTCCCGCATGTGAAGCCAAGCAGGGATCTGTGTTCTTAGGATGAGATGTTTTTGCTAGAGAAGTTCCTATCAGCAGAGGCTCATTTCTTGGGTGCTGGGAATTTTACCTGGAAAGCTTCCTTCTCATGGATCAGGCACTTGCAGCAGGTATTTCACATGTAGTTAGGCAGCAGCACTGAAAACATAGTGCACTACCTTTTAGTTGGATAGACAGGCATTTTACAGAGCTCTGCTGCTGGCACTGTAAAAGCAGGGAACAAGTTGGAAAACACCCAGTGTAGGAAGCAGGACCAGTGTGGTGTGGCTACCCTCTGGAATGCCACCTGCTTCACCAGCACAAGCAACCCCAGCGCCCTATTTGCATTCTGTCCTTCTGCAAGAGTCGCTGCAAATCCCCTGCCCACTCTGCTGTGTATCCACGGGCCCAGCAGCAGGACTGTCACCACTCTGTCAGGTCTCAGGGATGTCTGAGGCTGGAAACCCCGCTGGGGACATGAAGGAAGCCTGGACAGTTTATGAGATGGCAGGAGGCAAAGTACATCTACCTGGCCCTGAGCTCTGAGGCACAGTCTCCCTTGCTGCCCACCTGACATGTACAAACTGTGACAAGCCCTGTCACCTGCTACCTGATGCAACAATTCCGAAAGCTGGGAAAGCCAGTCGTGCTGTTAACAACTCTAGCTTCCCCAAAGAAAGCCCTAGAGACTTATGACAAGGAACTGCCTTGACTCAGGCCAAATACATTCATGTTAGGAAACCTCCACTGCTGGCTTCCTGGGTGAAACAGCCTCAAAAGGACACCAGCAAGACAAGCAGACAAAGGGAAAGGCATGGCATTGGTGTTTCACCCCACCTCTCCTCCTTGTCCCTTCTCTTCCCATGAGAGGAGAAACCCCTGGCTGAAAGATCTCAACTCTGGGAGTGACATAAGCTGCTGCAATTATTTGCATCGTCCCTGTCTATGACTCCCTGTTCATTCATTTTCATGCTTTCCTCTGGTCAGTCTCCTAAGCACAAGGACTGATGGAAGCACAGATATCAGCACAAGAGGATCATCTGAGCACCTTCCTGGGGTCTCAATTTCC